AAAACAATTTTTATATAAAAATTTTACGTAATTATACAATATTGTTTACTAATGAGTTTCAATTCTTCTAGTATCATTTTTTTTCTTCTTCGTCGTCTTTTTGTATAAAGAACGTTAAGTGTGTACAAGATAAGATTGAAACATGCACAAAGGAGTTGGTGCGGATCCAAAAGCTCCGGGATTTACATGCATTATGAAAAGCTGTTTCCTTTATCTCTGTTTGCGTCTTTCGCACGTGAGCTTTAAGTGCGTTATTTATGTAGTCCCGAGACAATTGCGTCATAAACAAGCCTGAATGAAGAAGTTTGGAATGGACGTGGCCAAGATCGAATTACAATTGCATGATATTGATAAAAGAAGTTTTAAAAGCAATGACGCAACAACAACAAAAAAAACTTAAGTAATTATGAAAAAAAAACTAGATACATTTCATTTTCTTTCTACAATTTTTGATAGAAGTTTTAGTTTCTAATTAATATAAGGGTTTATTGTTTGATAGACCATAGTTGCAATTAATTATTTGGTGGAGAATGTCCATATGTTTGTGAGGATTTGGTACGCCACTGTTTGTAAGGAATGTAGATAGCAGTTATAGTTCCTGGATGCAGTTGGTTGTTGTATGTATGTTGTTGTTGTTGTTCATTCGTTCGGATAAGAAAGAAAGAACTGGTGTCTCTGGTCTACAATTCAAAATAATAGCTGGGACAATGTATGCGAACATCTTGGGACATTAAACATAATTTCTGAACATGCCGGGGATACGAAGAGCCACGATATTAGCGATGACGGACCGAGCTGAAGCTACTTTACGACCCGTCCCAGTATTATTGGATTGCGAGACACGGCCATGTGCCATCTCCTAGTCAGAGGGAACACAGAGATTATCGCGAAATTTATGGTCGCTTCAAGTGGAGAGTGCGTGCGCTAGAGAAGGAGAGGAATATTGTGGAGTTGGAGTGGAAAAATGGAAAGATTTTTACTGGTCTTTTGAGATCGTATCAATATGCTGTTCAGGGAGCGGGAATCGATGCACACAAGAAGTGCACACCGCGAAAGAAGGATTGGAAATGAGAATCGAGAAAGAAAGAAGAAAAGAAAAAATAAATTAACAAACAAAAAAAAAATTAAAGTATGGAATAAAGTACAATGATTGAAGGCGAACCTCCAAGAAGCGCTTGATTTATAAAACAAATATTCTTTGAATTAAATGTTTGTTTTTCTTTTTATTTTTCGTTTGTTTGTATTTTCTCGTCTTAATCTTGGCGATAAACCGTTTATGGGAGAGTCAGATAAACGATCTTCGACTTATAGAATCAAATATTCAGAGATTCAGCAAACCCGATCGGAATCGTGTATAACTTACATAAGAGTCGGGATAAGCTCTATTTATGTAATTGCACCTTTAAACATTCATGAAGTTTTGTAGATTTCTCGTTTTACAAACTTATAGTCAGCATAATAATTATAATTGATTTATACCAAACGCTTGAAAAACTAAATATTTCAGACTGTTTTACATGAAAATTTTTCAATAGAAAGGAATTGAATTTACAGAAAATATTAACTTTAATTTAATTAATTATTTAATTTTATGAAATATTTATGTAAATTATTCAGATTTTAAAATCATTGATTGTAAATTTCAAATTTTAATAAAAGAAGTTTTAAAGATTAATTTTCATATGTAAAAAAAAGTTGTGAACTAATTCATGTAACTTTAGATTAACAAAATGTTCTACTTAACAGTAAAAACCATTCAACATAAGTACAGAAAATATTAATTATCAATTAAACTTTAAGTTAATTAATTATTTAATTTGATGAAATATTTATGGAAATTATTCAGATTTTAAAATCATTGATTGTAAATTTCAAATTTTAATAAAAGAATTTTTAAAAATTAATTTTCATATGTAAAAAAAAGTTGAGAACTAATTCTTGTAATCTAAATGTTCTACTTAACAGTAAAAACCATTCAACAGAAGTATAAAAATTACTTTTGTGTAATTGCACCTTTAAACATTCATGAAATTTTGTAGAAAATGTGTTCTCACTTTACGATTTCTTGTTTTACAAACTTATTTTCAGCATAATAATTATAATTGATTTATTAGTTTAAAAAACTAACTATTTCAGACCATTTTACATGAAAATTTTTAGACATTAATAGAAACAAATTGAATTTACAGAAAATATTAATTATCAATTAAACTTTAAGTTAATTAATTAATTAATTTGATGAAATATTTATGGAAATTATTCAGATTTTAAAATCATTGATTGTAAATTTCAAATTTTAATAAAAGAAGTTTTAAAGATTAATTTTAATATGTAAAAAAAGTTGAGAACTAATTCTTGTAATTTTAGATTAACAAAACGTTCTACTTAACAGTAAAAACCATTCAACAGAAGTATTTTTCTTGAAGTTACACAACTATAAAATTTACTTTTGTGTAATTACACCTTTAAACATTCAGGAAGTTTTATAGAAAATGAACGATTTCTCGTTTTACAAACTTATATTCAGCATAATAATTATAATTGATTTATTAGTTTGTAAAACTAACTATTTCAGACCATTTTCCATGAAAATTTTTAGACACAAATAAAGAGAAATTTCAATTACAGAGAATATTAATTATCAATTAAACTTTAATTTGATGAAATATTTATGGAAATTATTCAGAATTTGATATTAAAAGTTAAAATAATTGATGAACCAGTTTCAAATTTTAATAAAAACAAGTTTTAAAGATTAATTTTAATATGTAAAAAACAACATGTAATGAACAAATCCTTCTAACTTTAGATTAACAAAATGTTCTATTTGAAAGTAAAACCATTCAACAGAAGTATTTTTCTTGAACTTATTACAGAAAAAGTATAAAACTTACTTTTGTGTAAGTTCTTGAAATAAATTGATAGGATTATAAAGAAAACATTGATCCGAAACGAAAGAAAATTGTTGATGATCTTACAGTTTAACTAAAGGACTGCATTTAATTGAAGGCACGGATCGTTAATTTATTATCTTAACCATCGACCACTATTCTCTTCTGTTTCTTCGCTTAAACGATTCCATGTAGTTTGTAAACCTGTTAGTGTGCATCGCTCGTAAAGAATCGAAGATTCCTTTTATTCGCCATCAAAAATCCGATTTTATTGCGTAATTTATTTACCTTTACCTTCCTAAATATATATATACATATGTGTGTATATGTACTCTTTTTATTTTTTCGCACGGTCGGTGTGATTTAAGTGAATTAATTTATTTTTATTCCTCGGAATGTGGATTATTAAGGAAGGTTCACCTTTCACCCTTCGCTCAGAGCCGGCCTTTCCTGTTTTCCATCCTTTCTTTACGCACATTCTCAAGCTTCATTACCTTCTCTCTCTCTTTCTTACGTACAAACACTTTCGAAGCGAAGAGTACTTTTTTTGCCTCGTCCTGTTTTCCTTGCATCACTGGCACTGATTTAGTGCGCGATAAATATATGCGCGTATTTATTTAAATAAACGCGCGCGTTATTGCACGTATAAATTGACCTGAAGTTATGGAAGAGTTTTCTGTCGGTATGGGGTGTCTTTAGTCATGCCACTCTCTCACTCTCTTTTTCACCAAGAATCCTTATTAATACCGCACACGCCGTTTGCGCTCAACTGAGCTTAGAGAAACTGACTTTCTTGTAAATATTGTATTTGAAACAGTCATTTTATACCAAAAAAATATACAAAAAAAACAAACAGAACTTTGAATAAGATATGTTTTGTAAATTAAAGAATTCAGATGTTTTGATCAAATCTTTCTATTGAGATCGTATTTCCTTTCAGTCCTTACAAGGGATTCATTCAATAAGAGAGGGAAGCTATACACAAAAAAATAAAATATATATAAAATGGCTGTTATTTTTATACCAATTGTTCTCGTCTTCCTTCTGTTAACGTCGTTCCGCCAACCCCGCTTTCCGTATTCCTTCCACGCGCTTAAGTACATGTTAAGAGGATATCCCGTCATCAAGTTTTTCTTCAGCCTAATCCATTTACGTTCTTCTTCATCATCATCATCTCGAAACCTCCTCTCCATCCTCGTCTTTCACTCAATTAACCAACGTTTATTGTCTTCCTCCCGATGGCAATAAATCCACATCAGCGACAGATATTTTCGTAAGATGCAATATACATACATAATATATATACTTTTCTTTTTTTTGCCTTCTCTTCTGCTTGCATGCGATTTATTTCCTTCCTCTTCATCTTGTTTTTCCCTTCTTCCAATTCATTTTTTTTTGTTGCTCCTTGTTCATCTTCTTGACGTGAATCGGAACGCATTACCGGACAAGCCCACTTTTCCAAGAAAAAAAAAAAAACCGCTGACACCGATAATAAATTTATCAATTCCGGATTCTGTTCCTTTACACTTCGAAGAAGATGAAAAAAAATATATATAATACGAAATTGGCAGATCACTATCGGCGTATTAAATTTCATAATTCGATGCGAAAATCGTTGATGGAAAAACGTAACTCGATATATCGTTGGACATCAATTTTTTTTTTATATATTAATAAAAATAAATGTACAAGCTTTCTGGCAATTTGCTTTCTTTAATCCTCGTTGCATTGTGCGTCGAGGTGGAGAGTATCAAGGTTTCTTTAATCCGGAAATGGCGTTTTGTAATCTGCCATCGGTTTATTTTTTTCTTCTTCTGCGTCTGACAGCTCATTTAATTTCACCGTCGTGCGTGAACGAAAGACGTTGAAGATAATAAAAAAAATATATGTATAAGATGCATCTCGGTGCACTTTCATTAAGTTTTTGTGACTGGATTTGGGGCATCTCAATAATATTGTTGTCCTAGTTTTTATTGAATTACTAATTGATAATAATTTCTCTATGAAAATATTGGAAGTATAAGATTTGAGCGAAATGGTTTCATGCTTTGTTGTTGTTGTTGTTGGATTCTGATGGTTTTATTGGAATGCTTTTTGGAACAGGTATGCTGCGATCGAGTTTACAGGTGGTTCCTGAATAAGGAGGATCTCAGTCTTGTAGTAGTTACAGTTTGAAGGTGTATCTTGTGATCAATTGAGAAGGATGTCGTCTCTGTCCAGAGCTCAAAGTTGGCCTCTGCTCTCCGGAGCCGGAATCCCTGCAGAAGAGGCCAGACCCACAACTCCCAACAAGCACCAGCAGCAGCTGCAGGCGAGGAGGCTTCTCTGCAGACACTACTACCCAGAGGGAGGTTGGGGTTGGGTGGTCACCGTGTGCGCCATCCTCGTGCACATCCTGAACCACGGCGTTCAATTATCCTGCTCCCAGCTCGTCGCTCCGGCCGCATTCAAATTCCACGTGCCGTCCGTTTATCCAGCAGGTAAATTACAGTTTCGCAGCGGTCTTCATTTCATCGCCATTATTATAATCTTCGTGCTCGCTTGTTGTTTTCTTCTTTCCTTCAACCTTTTTGGTGCATGCCAATTTTCGCGCGAGACGAAAATTGCTAAGTGGATCATTTCTCCGAAATTCTCGTCAGATTCCACGAACTTATACAACCTTGACACCTGCGAATAAATGACCATCATCTTCAGTTTATTCAATGTCAAATTATATCCTTAATTATATATCAATTTGTCCTTACAAAATATAAAACTTATGAAATTTATTAAAAATCAGTAAAGAAAAGTAAAAACTAAAGACTTTTCAGTTTGTTTATTTCTTGTAATGATGGAGTGGAAGAAGTAAACAAATATGAAATTGCATGCTATAAATATGATTGTCGGAGGGAAAAATTTGTGATTCAGTTTCTGAAGTTATTCGCTGAAATGTGAACCGTTTATTTTGTTGCTTATGCAGTTTCTAAACATTTTAAATGCGGGGAAGTGAACTTGCACGGAATGCATGCAGTTCTACGAACAAGTTTCCCATCTCCTTTCCTCGCAACATCAGTCCGAGGAGTGGAAGAAACTTTTTCCTTACCCAAAAGTCGGCCAAAACTCTTCCAAACTCTGCTTATATCAATTTATCTAATCCAATTAATACCAAACCAAGCTTAAATCCATCAACGGTTTAAGAAATGTCCTCGAATTATTAATGTATTCGCCGCATGTAATTCATACGATTGTAAACATCCAGGAAGAGCCCAGTTTTTTTTTTTATTATGTAATACTTTCGTCTTTCCGAATCCGACGGCAAATGTTAAGTTGCATCGAAGATGATGCATCGATCGGACAACATGACATTCCGCACATGAATAATTCCGGCCTACTTTATTATCAATCCGACAAGAATCCAACCAAAATCGAATAAGAAAAGAAAGAGCGAAACAAAAAGAAATGTATTGAAAAGGAGCGGTGATGTGAAATGAGGAGGAAAAATGTTGGCATGTAGAATAAATATACAAGAGAGACGGAGAGAGCGAATGGAAAACAGGCGAAAAAGGCACTTGGTGGACACCTTTTATGGCTTCATACCACCGTCGGGAATCGGGCCGACCGAAAAATTCAATTACAAATTACAATTTTTATTGAACTCGACCCGGTAATAATATAATTACATTCCATCGGTAACTTAACGAATTTATGTATGCAGTAATTTCATGAATTTATGAATTATTTAAGTAACTGAAACATTAACATATATAAGATACAGCACAGATTTTTATATGTAAAAGGTGAATAATAATGAACATTTCTTTCACAAACATCCGTTAAAAAAATAGAGTTTCGGTTTAGTTGTATCAACAGCGATAATTATAATGGAGTTTAATTAAATTAATTAAAAATAAGTTTTTTTTTTGTAGATTTATGTAAATTAAAGAAATCTTGCTTTGGCGGAAGATCATTGAAAGTAAAGTGTTTTGTCAAGATAAAAACGTCGAAGCTGTAAGCTCTTTGAAAGAGGTCGGATTATAAAAAAAAAAGTAAATTCGATTAAGGCCGTTTATATTTTATTTTCTTTTCTTTTGAGAGTCTCTTTGGTGAGTGAAATTAATCGGTGATGGATCATCTTTGCGTCGAGCGAAAATTGGCAACGCTTGTCGGCAATCCCCGTACAAGACTTTTACATTTAGATAATATACGCGGAATGTCGCTCGACCGGCCCCTTTCTTCGCAGCCGCCTCCAAGGTGAGATAATATCCCCATTGGATTATTATTATTATGTCATCGTGCGTACGTAAAGTGAGGGGTGGTAAGGAGATGTCAGAGGAAGAGGCGTCGCGACGCCCGCAAATTTATGATCCGTAATCGCCACTGACGGCTGCGCAGATTAATCTATTGAAAACCGACCCGAAATTTATAATCCTGGATGAAAAAGGGTTGCAAGAGGATGAGGGCTTCTGGAATGAATTAATCGGAGACGTATCCCACGCGTATAAATATTCATCCCGTGTTTACTACTGCAAGTCGGATTCCGAATGAATCATGATCCTCGCTTCGTCCTGTTCACTTCTTCGCTTGTCTCGTCCATTTCATTTGTTTTCCAAGCGCACGGTCGGGAATAATTAGATTTAATTTGTTGCCCATTCGCGGATCGCGTTTGTGTCAGGCTGCGTGTGGTCGTCGAACGGCTGAAGGAAGGAAGGAAGGACTTCTTCAGGTTTCCTTTCTCGATCGTCCCATTATCCCATCCGCATTTGCTTATTACTATTCGCAGCGGTCATTATGATCCTTTCATTGGGGACGTGAGTACTGCACTTTCTGGGTTAATGACTCCCTCAACCAATCTTCACAGAAACCAACACTTCTACACATCGCTTACTAATTGATCAGCAAAACGCAATTAAGAATACCATTTATCAACTAGGAGCTAATTGAAACTATTAAACTTCTATCTTAGATCAGTGTTTCCTAAACTATAGATGTTTTATAAACAATTTGATAGCATATCTGAGCCTTAAGTCCATTTTCATCTTTTATCAAGTTGGCACTTGTGACATTTATAATTTATGCTCAACTGTCAAAAAAGTACATTTGAAAATTTTATATCACGTACATTTTCAAAATAATTTATACTTAGTACATTTGAAAATTTTATATCACGTACATTTTCAAAATAATATAAATACTGAAAATCGTAATTTTGAAAGTGACTTAAGTCCACTTTTTATTGACGATGTCAGTGCGGCCTAAAATGTTGAAAGCAGTGATGAAGGTAATTTAAATTACGTTTTGATATGAAATTGAAATTTAAAAAATAATATTTAATTTAAAGAAATTATTAAACCTCTGGGAAAGGATAAAATAACAAGATTTCTTGATTCTGAAAGTGAAGAGGAATTAAACTCATTCAACAGATTTAAAAAAAGAAGGAGAAAAATATGCTGATTGCGATTTTTAAGAAATGAACCATATAAAATTTTATACAAAACAACCGTAGATGAGAACGAAGAATTTAACATTCTTGATACTTGACGAAAATTTGAGAATATTGTATTGCCATCGTTATATAAAAGTATAAGAAGCATCAAATCACTAAAATACCGACACATGATGGACTTATTGCAATATTGCACCATAACTACTTCAAATCACTCCCGCATACTGAGAATGTTAACG